CCTTCCTAATATTACTTGTGGTGAATGATCGACCACAACCGTTAAATGGACATACAAAGGGACGTTCTCCTGTGTGAGTTCTCACGTGTTTTAACAAATCGCCCGACGTCTTGAAACTTTTGTTACACGTTCCATTCGTGCATTTGTACGGTTTCTCGCCCGTATGCGTCCGTAAATGCGCTTTCAAACTGTAGCCGGTTGAAAAGCTCTTTTTGCACTTTGGATGAGTACATCTGTATGGTCTCTGACCAGTATGCGAACGTTCGTGGACCTACAAAAAAGATTAAAAATACTGCATTTAGTAAGTCTGATTGAAAAAATTTTAATAAGGTTCTTCAATTCATTAGGTTTGTTTTTTATTCTTGCACTGTCCGAATTGGTGCACCAGTTCAAGTAGTGCAGGAATAAAGAACAGACTTATTATTTACGAGTATTCGTACCGATCTCGACGAATTGATTACCTTGAGATGATGGGGCGTACTGTAAACCTTTGAACATCCTTCCCTAGGACAAGGATATCTAACTTTTACATCGGATATCTTATTGATTAAAATCTTGGGATCTTTTTTCTTTAACTTTCCGTCTTCAATTTCCCATAAATTTTCATCTACATCCACATGACCAGCCACCATGTATGCAGTACCATTGATAAATTCCACTTGTGAATACGTATTTTCTACATTTTCAGTGGCAGTGTCTTCAGCTTGTACAAATGTAGCTGGATCTAATTCCAGTTGAAGAGCCTTTCCATCGCCAAATTCTGACAAATCTCGTAGCAAAATAGTATCTCCGTTTTCAAGCGTTTGCAGTGTTTGTGTCTTGAAATCTGGATCTGTAAATGTACAAATTCAGTATAGATATACCATGAGATAAATAGAATATTCAAATAGCTATATTTTTTTCAAATACAAATTTTGAAAGGAATAATTCTTTTGTATTATCTGTGATATTCAGACATAATGTAAGTCGAATTTAAATGGCTACTAACCAATGTCACCAAGATTATTCGTAACAAAAGCTTGAGTCCCATCAGGCAATGTAATTGTAGTTACCATTGTGCCAAGCAACTGGTCATCCAATATAAGCTCCTGTACCTGATTAGTATCCTTTCCAGTGCCATCGTTGATCATAACCGACAGACATTCCAGAATATCTACAGGATTATCCTAAAAGTAAATCATACATCATATTATTAAATACAGATATATAAACAGGTTAAGAACAAAAAAATCAATAAAACTAATTGTTGAACAGGCAAACAATTACATCCAATTTGTAAACTATCTTACTGTGCAAAATTAAATATTCATTAAATTATTAGTTTATTAATAGAAAATGATATAAAATGATTTGCATAAAATGTTCTACATGATGTTATCATCGTTATCAATTTCCATATACCTCAGACTCTTGCAAGATCATCTCCTCTTCCTCTTCCTCCTCTTGATTCGCGGTGCAGTTCGGAGAATCCGCACTTTGCTCCGACATAATCCTCTACAATTGCGATCCAGCTGCGAACAGAAAATATTTCTCACTAACAGATGCCAGTGATGCTGGACAAGGAGACATTCCGTCCGCGATTTTCGTTTCTCCTTTCGAGATGCTTTAAGAGCGTGTATGCCGAGCGACGAGATCGCGTGGTACCTTTACCGCGGAAGTCGCAATCAAACGAATTCGAACGGCCCTTCCATTTCTCGCGATAAGCGATGATAACACGACCGATCGGTTCAGCGACGGTTAACAATCCGGTCTTCGCCGGCGTCGTGATCAACGGCCTGAGGGGACGTCGAGACGTGCGGCGTCGGCAGCGTCGCTCCCTAAACGCGTCGTGGACGGACAAGCAGAACCGCGTCCTGCTTCGACGTGCCTCGCCATCCTCGCGCACCGTTGTCTCGTGAGAAGAGACAGGCCGAGACATCGCGAGGCGGCGCGGCATGACGAGGACTCGTTGCGACGAGGAACGAGGCGTCATGACTCCACGCCGACATAACATGACATGACATAACATAATTGAACATAATGCGACGCAATCCGCACGCTCGTTCGCACGCGGTGAATTGAATTTTCGCCGGTTCCCCGTACGCTAAGCACGCCACAAAGAATCTTGGGAAATATTACCCATAAACTCGGCCGCCCGCGAAATCCTCTGGCGACTAGCGCGCGACGGACCGGAACTCCGGTGACGGTTATCTCACCATGGTGGCGTACGCGCGCTTCGATTCGAACGTTTAAACGTTTGCGAATGACACCGCCTTGGTTTTCAAACTGTCTTTTTAAAAACCGACAATAGAATTCACGATCGTATTAACCCTTCATGGTCACACTGGGTCAAAATGACTCAAGCATCGACTTTCACGCTAAATTCTAATACGTGTTTACGATTTTTTTAAATGCTATATATAAAATTAAATTTTTCACAAAAACGCCACTGTTCCATTTTCTTAAAGGATGAAATTGTATACCGTATTTTTTTTAAATCATTGTAACTAACACTTTAAAGATGGATCGGGTCATTTTAACCCAGAGCAACCATCGTGTGGCTTTTTAGAAGTGTGACCATGAAGGGTTAAATACAAAATTAATTATCATTATTAAATAGAAAATTAACTATTCATTGTTGTGTACAAAATTAATTGTTCATTATTGCTAAATTGTTAGCTTAATAGAAGATAATATGAATCCTAGTAGCATAATTAAATTGGCACAATATTGTCCAAATATTCGTCCAATATTATCTCCAACGTTTAATCATATATCGCAAATAAATTAATTGTTACTAGGGAAGCGATCTTCTGTATGATCGACATAAAATGTTCTACATGATATTATATATATCTATTTCTATGTAGAAGTCATATGCAGTCGTTTCTTCAACTGAATGGAATCTTAATACTAATTAAAATCAAACTTATAAGTATAAACCCTAATAGCACACTTTATTCTAGGGATGTTCTGGCGAACGTTCTTAGGACATAGGGATATCCTTTGAATGTTCTTTGAAACGTCCCTTGGAGATCTGTGCTATTAGGGAAATTATAAGACCAACCGTTCGCTAATTATCAGAAAACTTGGCAAAAATTAATGGGGACCCAACTCCTTACAGTAATAGCTCATATTATAAGTACAATCAATTAACGTTTATGGTTTGTTGATTACAATTGAATCATATCTGCACGGAAATCGGATATACAATGTGTAGCGATAGTATTTAACGTGCTCTAATTCGCTTAAGAAATATACGCAACGCTTGCATTTTTTGGCGATCTTTAACTCGCTTCCCGTTTCACGCTGTATAAAGCATATATATTAAGACGCTAGTTGCAATTATATAGTATGCATAAAAAAAATGCGACTCTTTTTTAATCACTATTATGTTTGCTGAGTGTGACACAGTAACGCAGTGATTGCAATTAAAGGAAATCATATCGAATAAATATTTGGTAGAAGGACAAAATATTTGTTAATTATAATCAAATTTACCCCCGTCCACTCACTTTATTTAACTAAACCGACAACTGAAGTGTTAGTTGTGAGAGTCGCATTTTTTTTTTTGCGCATACTGTAGACTTCGACTACTAAACTTAATTAGATTATTTAGGGCCATCATACACAAAATTACATAAGCAAAGCATAAGGTCCCTTAAACCAATAACCATCTTATATAAATTGACCAGAATCGCTGTTATTTCATCGGCGAGAGCCATTAAATCAGAAGAAGAAAATCTTACGTAAATCAATATGGCATCTTTATGTCGGATGCTTAGTCTACGGGCCTTATGCTATGGTTATGCAACTGTCATTTTGTGTGTGATGACCCTTACTCAGCAAAAAGAAAAGCATAAAGAAAAATTTATGTAACCTCCTGTTTCCAATCCGATCTTTCTTTCCATCCGTAAAATTTATTATATTCTATCTTAACAAAACAATACAGGTTTGCTTGATAATTTAATTGCCGATTAAGTTAATTAAAGTTCGATTAACAATAAATCTATAAAACCTACTCTACAATGGGTGCACTTTCCATTTAGTGACACAACTCGACACAAGAAGCATTATTTCTTTACATTTAGTAAATAATAAAGATGTAAGAACGATACTTATTGCTGTCAACTTGTGTCATCAAATAGAAAGCACCTAGTGTGTTCTTTCTGTTTCTTGCTACTGGCTCTTTACCATTTTTTACTTCTTACTTATTTTAATTAATTCTTATCCTATTTCTTCGTTTTCGTTCAAAATAAAAGTTAAATTTCGGAAGAGACAAAGGACATGAATGTCGATAAAACGGTTGCAACTAGAAAAAGCAAGAGATAAAAATCTGCAGATTAGGTTTAAATGTTGTTCAAAGTGAATAAACCAGTATCTTGTAGCGCAACAGGTGGAAGAGAAGCAGATTTAACTTAACTTAATTATAACTTAGTATGTTCATTATGTTAATTCTTTCTTCGTAATTGTAAATACAACTTCTTGCTTAGAAAGTCATAAAATTTTTGAAAATATTTTCCCTGAAAGATTACTTTCCGTTTACATTATATACAATCTTCTTCGACAGGCCCGCCTCTCCTCTGCATCAATTCGATTGTCGGTTAGGCCGCGCAACTCGTCGTGACCGCGGGAACGAAGAATACGGCGTGTTCGCGGACGACGTCTGTTTCGCAAACGTACTAATTTGATCCACGAGCCGCGCGTTCCCGAGGCAAGATGAAAGTACCTCGACGGTGATCCCTTGCGAAGTTAGAATCCTTATTACCTCGGGAACCTCCGTGGTGCCTCGAGTCACACGCAAGTGGGGTACACGTGCATGTGTATCGCGGATGGCGAGAAGGGGGATGCTGAAATTCATGCACGGGCCGGCGGTCACCGACGTTCTCCACACCGCGACCTGGATCAGTTCCTATTACCGTATCCACGAGGCGTCTTCAGAAAATCTGGCTGGATCTCCTAGAGTCCCCGCGAATCCGTAAGAAAAATCCTTCTCGCCGCAGTGACTGTGATCCGATCTATACGTGCGGGTGTGCTCGTCTCATCGGGATCCTGCTAAGGATCGATACTCGACGATTGATAGCTCGACGATGACAACGGTGGGTGAAGTGCTGAAGCTGGATCCTCTCGCAGAATTCCTTGACCGTTCACTTGTAGTTACAGCTACCGGCGTTCAATCTGAAAATTTTAAATAATTTTAATCCCTTTGCCTGCTCATTAGACAGGACGTCGAATGCACATTATTAAAAGATCACGACGAACGATGCTCACGATTTCATTAATTTGACAGCTAACTTCACTGTGTGTGTCTTCGCGCCAATTTTAAAATATTTTGAAAATCATAGAACTTTCTAATTCCGGAACGTTTAGGTTCCGATTTTTTATTTTCTGATTAACTTATTAGATTTAACTTGATGATGTAAAAATTGTATTGTTTTACCGGTGGCTTTAATCAAAACTGATTAATCTAAACTGATAGTTTTGTAGTAAAAAGTAACTTTTGAAGTTACCATTAGAAAACAATCAGTTTATAATAATGATAATCATAGTTAGAAAAACACGAGTTTTATATTAAATTATCATTTAAATTAAATAAATTTAAATCTAAACCAAGTGATACAAAGATTGAAAAGCCAGGCCTTAGAATGGATTCAAATGTGGAATTAATTGTATTTTGATATCTAATCTAATATTAAAATTTGAAATTTCAGTGAATCAGTTATTAGTTATGAAATACATCGAATATATTTCTATAAAGGTTTGAAAAAAAAAATGGAAATTTGAAAAGAAAGGAATGTTTTGAATAATTTAATTTTCACAGAATTTTTCTATAATGTTGTATGATATCCAAATTAATGATAAATTCTCGATTTTTGAATAGTTTCATACAATTTTTAATATTTATAAGAATTGAAAATAATTAATTAGTGTAGAAAATCATAAATATCTTTAATATAAAAATATTATCTCATAATTTTTTTTTTTTATAAAGAAAAAATGAATAGAAGATAATGAAGTTGCATAAACGACTTATCTACTTTGATTTTTACTTAAAGAAAGCAAGGAACATAAATTAGTTTTACAACAATGTTCCTTTGACAGAAGAAGCTTCATTGCGAAGCTAATTTGTTCCATCACTTTCTGAGACGCTATAATTACAATTCGTATCGAGTAATTACAGTCCCACGCGATAAATTAATTTATCTACGGATTTAATGTATCATTAGAAAGGTAAAGATGGTAAGTAGGCGTATTATATATACGGATTTATAAATTCTTATGCATGCGTGTGCGCGTATATCAATGTAATTGCTTCATTGCGACTCACTGTTACTTAATCAAATCGTGTATCACGAGAATGGGATCGCTCTCAGTTTACAGCAATACATATATTTTTTTTCCCATTCATATATGCTGTGTGTCAATACTCTTACTAATCAGACTACATTGTGCAAAAGTAAATTAGGTCGCAAACTAATTGCAATGTCTCCATTTGAGTTTGAAACGTTTTGTACTCGATCCAACATTCATAGACTATAAATTACTTTTAAATAATGTATGAAACATTTAGAAAGAGCGACATTATACATATATCAAGGAAGTTATAATAGGAAATATTATGCAAAAATAAATTAAATCGCAAACTAACTTGTTTTGACTCAAATTTAAAACGTTCATTGTTTTCGACTTCAATGTCTACACGGGAAAAAATGTTATATAATGGACATATTATATATAAAAAAAATTATATATAAAACATGTCAATTTTATATATAATTATATATAATCATATATAATTTCATATAATTTTATATAATTATATATAATTATATATGAAATATTTTTTCCCGATATAAATATAATTTCTTAATAATGAAACGTTAATAAATAATGAAATACGTATCAAAAAGTTATAACAAAAAATATAAAATTATATGATATATAAATTTCTTTTTTCTTTAAAAATTAATTTACTTTTGCGTAACGTTCTGTTAAAAATGTGTATCATGACTCATAAGCTTTCCTTCTCGCGAAAGAGACTTCATGCTCTTTCAAAACTCGACCTTTTCGCAAATTCCATTGTCGAAGAGTAGTCATCAGATCTCCGATCGATAATCTATCAATGTATGTAGAAATACTTACTACTTATGCACATGAAGTTTCCGCATTGTTGTATCTCAAATGTCGGATTCAATAGCGCACGAATGAACTCCCAAGTGAAGGTAAGCAGAAAGGAAGGCGAAAGGGTGAGTTTTGATACGCACTGCCGAGCATGTGTGTGTCTTTATCCGAATCTCCTTGAGGGCTAAGCTCAGCATACACGCGTTTTGAAGGCGTAGGTGTGCTCACTTGAGACGATGTAGGAATACCGATGGTATGCGGAGATATAATGTAACTATACTTTCGCGGTCGTGAAGAATATTGCCTTTCAAAGCGCAATGTTGCTGGCTCCAATCCTGCTGAGAAAAGTCTGTCTTGTAATACTCGCAGGGAGGGCAGCGTTCCGCAAGCAGGTCGTAGAAATGACGTAACGTGTTACGACGTTTACATTAAGAGTTTATGTTATAATAAATTACTCCCGATTACTCTGGAGAATCTAGAAGCAAGAATAAGTTAGAAATTAATAGCTACAAAATATTGTTAAGGAGTAATAAGATGCATTTTTAAAGTTTTCTTATTCGTTATATCTGGATAAGAGTATTGATATTTTATACAATAAGAGCTAAAAAATAGAAGTATTGAAAAATAAAAAAATATTATAGATTTTTAAAACCGATTTAATTCTTTATGAATAAATAGGAGGGGAAGATCATATTTGTGTTATATTAAAAGATGGCATAAAATTGTAACGATCAATGGAATATTAATGGATCAATGTTATTACTATTTCGTTTTTTTTATTAAGTTGTTGCGTATAAAACGTTTTATTAGCGTGTAATAGTTGATAGTAAAAAAAGTTAATGGTAAAAGCCTGTCCATAAAAAGCTCTATAAAATATGAACTTTCTAAATCGAGGATTACAACGATATACAACGATGTAATTAATAATAATTCTTTTGATGAAGTACTTTGCTATTCACACATTTTTATATAGAGGAGAAGGTGGTATTATATATATATATATACCTTTCAGTCCATTTTCTGCATTGTGATTTCATCAAAAAAAGAGATTTATCTGTCATCGACGTGTATATGATGACTGAAGCACTCGCCCCAAGTTGTTTCACAAAAAATAATATAATTTAGAGTCGATTTTTTTCTTGTGCAAGATGGCATGATATAATATTTTACAAGTTGAATAATATAAATGACCATATTACTAATTTGTATTAGAATTTATAAAATCGATTTGTATCATAATTTCGTATTGATGATTATTATTGTTGCATATTCTATAATAACAATATATTTTGTAACGATTCGAGTTAGATTTAATTTTTACATAATATAACTTATGAATTTATATCTAAATTTTAAGAGAAAATCATGAATAGTTTTATCGTTGCCGTTATTAACTACTTTATTTTTCTTTGCGAATGAATCTCTATGAAAGTATCGTATACGCGCATACATCTGCAGGTAATATCTTGAAACCCGAGTGTGTAATATGATATAGTATATTCTTATTAAGCAAACTTTCTGTGATAGCTATTTGGATTCTATTTCTTATGTATTGAGTTTCACAACCGTGCATTGTAGAATAATATAATTTTTTGAGTTATTGAGAAACTTACGGACATATGTAATATATTTTGTAACACAGAGACATTCCAACGAAATTTACTCCACGCATCTTACTTTAAAAAGTTCGAAATTTTTTCTGAGGAGAAATCGACTCCAAAGTAATCATAAAATATGCTCTATAGAATTTCTAAATCATCTTTTTCTCACGTTTTTTTTTCGTGAATAATTCGGCTCTGATGACAAGATACATCGTTAATTATAAGATAAACTACTATTTTGATTCTAGATAACAGTGCAGGTGTTGGTGCTTCTCACGGTGACTGTAGTCAGTTCCTTACCGCTAGCCAATGTGCACGTGAAATTCGTGTCGCCACCTAATGTATACGAGCATAGCGTTACAACAGACGGTTAGTTTCTGATTATGTGATAATATTTTATATCGTATTAACAAATTGAAATGTTTTAACTCATTCGTAGGAGATCGAACGGTAGCCCAAAAGTCATTCATATCGATCGGCCGACGAAACGCGGCCAAGCATTTTAATGATCTCGGTAAGTATTTTATTTCTATACTTGTATATAATTATTTTAGTGTAATTAATTAGGAGTACTAATCGAAATTAACCCTAATCAGTATTCGCTCTGAAATTTTCTTAACTGCATGTATTTGTGAGTTTCGTGTACTGTAAATTAATATACTTTTGCTCAAAGTGTAAAGTATAAATTGAAGTTCAAGCAATTGATCACGATGTAATTGAAGGATTTTTTTTCATTTTAAAGGTCAAAATTTGAGGAATAATAAGTTTATGTAATTATAAGGTTGTAAAAAATACTTGTCATAAATAATTTTTCACAACATACTTAAAATATCCAAATCTGTTATTGAATTCGCAAACACCGATTAGAGTTAATAATACTATATATCTTTTAAATGACAAACCTTCAGTGAAAATTATTTATATCTGTGGTTCATTTTTACAGATTATAATTATAGGACGAGTTTCGACCAAAATCACTTACAACAGGTGATACAGAGTTCAGGAAACGCCGAATCTCTGTGGCCAATTGGAGTTTTTCTGCCACCAACTGACATCAATGATCTTGGATATAGCTGGCAGGAGATATCGCAACGCTTCCCCGATTTTTACAAATCACAGCGTAAGAAGACTTTTCTCAGAGATTTGCTGACTATAATACAAAGCGGTCTACATTCGCTTTTTAATTAATACTTATTCTACTTTTACGCTTTGGACAAATGGCACCCTAATGTGCCATCTTCTTTTATGTATGTGTGTATATCGTTTCGTTTCCGTATAATTTAGGTTCGTTCTAATTGCAGAACGAGATCCATATTTATTGACCGACCATGAAGCAATGTTGGCAGTTAAATACCTCTATGGATTGGGTGAACTTTTCTTCGACAATTATCCTCATGTAAGAGCGTTACTGCGAAATCAGGAAGAGAGGAGACTGAATGGTTTGGATGGACACATTTTGAGTAGTATAAATCCTAGGTCTCCGTTTCATAAGAAAGATAGAAAGGGACAACTAATTTAAGAATGATTTATGTTTAATATTGCTGGGCACAAAAATTCAAACATAAGCTAAATTTTGCAGTACGTAATATTTTTTTATTATAATTTCCAGAATTTTGTAAATATACTACAATAAAATGTAACAAGTTAGAAACTAACGTGTATTTTCGGAGGGGACAGGAATGATATATTCAAGATTATGTTTTAAATTAATAATTAATAACATACAGCATGTCCCACCAGTGCTGCATCAACGCTTAATGGCAGATTTTTGTATATTTTTTTCAAATTGACTCCAAATTAATAAAATTAATTAACATATTAAAATAAAAAATATCTAAAAATATATTTAATATTAAAACACGTCTTACTTGTGATTATTTTATGATATGCATTATAAAAAATACATATTTTACATATACATCCACACATACATCCATCAGAATGCTGATTCTGGAAAGGATTCACAGGAAGTTTAATCACGTTAATCCATTCACGAAGTATCTTATACATCCTCAAATAAGCCACCGTATTAAACATATAGATATTGTTGTTAAAAAACTATTAGCGATGGTCGTTTTCATTGTTCCGTTACAAAGATCTCCGTAACACAGACACATGTACACTTTTTTGTAATTCCACACGGTATAAGCGCATCTCTCTTCGTTGTCATCAGGACCTCGCTGGAAGCACAATCTCTGCGTGGCGATACCGTATTCTGTAACATATAAATTTATTAGCATTTTTAGAATTTTTTACAAAAGAACAATTACACTATATCAATTTTAAGTCCTACTATTTAATATATAATTTTATTAATAATGTATTAAAATAAATTTTATGCGAAATATGTACTTTTATTATAAAACTAAATTATGTTGCTAAATAAAACTTTTTTTAAAGAGGAATAATTTACCGTTGTTTAAATTTTGGCTCTCGATGATTTTTCCGCACCATCCGGAAACACACGGCACCGCGTCCATGCCTTTTTCGAGCGCGATTTGTGTAGAATTCATAGTGAAAGGATCTTTGCACGAGCCTAAGTCTCCTCTCGATCTGCAGCTTACGCATCTCCGAAGAATGCCTGCAATAACGCGACGAATGAAACTGTCACTTTTACCTGCTACCGCGTCATTTCACTCGCGCCGCATAGACATCGAACGATTAATGATATGCAGAATTTTTTTATGATTTAGCATTGAATAAAGCAAAATTATTTGTACAATATGATTTGTAATTTAATAACAATTAATCTGTATTTAAATCAGAAAATTAATTTTATTTATAAGATATAGAAATAAATATTCATATAAAATATTGATATTTTAGATTTCTTATTAACAGGACAAAAATTTTTGTCAAAGATGAGGTATTAATTGAACCTTGTAAAGTTTCGAATTTTTCCTTGTCCGCAAATTCAATTAAAAAAAAATTTTCCAAAAAGCAATTTCATCAAATATGTTTACCTGACTTGATTTATTAATCATTAGTTATTCGTTTATTATCAAATGTTGGCACTTTTTAAAAAGATATTTAAGAATATGATAAAAAGTTTTAAGAAAAATGCAGATAAAATAATTGAGAAAGTATTTTGATTCGCGATAGAAACTCACCGACACATTCCTGAAGCGCGATTATACAGAAAATCAGGATAATCGCTTGGACGTTTGTTCGAAGTTTCATCCTATTTCGTTTTTAATCTGGATTCAGTCTTTTCGTAGTTAAAACCTACTAGCTCGTTAATAAACACTGTAGACAAGGAGCCAGGAGCTACGATAGAACACAGCCATTTTGGAACTAAACTTAACTGTCTGGAGACAGATATGTATGCCTTGTAGCTGTCTCTACCAGTTCCCCCTTTCACTCAATTTTAAGGTCACAGTGTACCGAAGAAGATCGGATCGAGGGAACGCGAAGGAGATAGCAACGAGGTCTCACGAAGCATTCTCGATCGATAACCAGTCATACAAATTAGACGTCAACAGATTTATCCATAATAGTATTAAAAGTATATATGCGCATGATAAAAGTATGCAGTTAACGGTGTCAGTCAATAAGCAAACTTAAGTAATTAAATATTCTCCTGGAAAAATTTTCAATTTTAGTAAATATGTAAAAATCATCGTGAGAAAAAGTGTACCATATATTTACGAGAAAAAACTAATAGTCTAATTGTAAGATAAAAATCTTATCTAACATATAACATGATGTAATTATTATTAATTTATATAAAGTGTCAAAATAATTTACATTTTAATCACGATATCACTCAACTTCCTCTTCCGAAGGATCATCTTGCGGCAAGGGCTGAAATTTGTTTCTTTGTCGACAGACTACTATTATACCTCCACAATAGCAGACTGAAGTCAAGAAAATAATAAATCCCAAGTAGCCCAAATGCCGAAGGAAGGCTATAAAAAACATGAACGAACAAATTTATACATTTATAAAAATTTGACATACTTGTAATGTTAATCATATTTTACAATTAACTATTTGATAATAAAATTTTTATTTTTATTATTATATTTTATGTATTTTATAACTATTTTCATTGTGCAGTTTTAATTGACCTTGAGTCAAAAGCCGAGTTTTAGACACAACGATGATCTTCATGCGCATCATATTAATGTTATTCACGTAACAGGTATAATTACCTTGTTCTTCTTCGGACACATCTGTCGAGAAAAAATATGTAATTAAAAATTGTTTACACATAGAAACTATCAAACTTTTGTCATGCCTTTGAATAAATAAACGAATATGTTTCTAATTGTATTTGTATAAAACTTAAAAAGTCAAAACGTGTATTGTTAAGTTACCTGTTAAATACCTGATAAATAGAGCGTTGAGAAATTATCTACCATCACTCGGGCTTCCTTATCTTTTTGACGAAATGACTGAGCCGTTCCCTTCTTCAAAGTGAGCGCGTCCTTTTTCCAAATTACTTGCGACTCTATAGTCGATCTACATTCAAAATATATCGTCTGTTTCCAATTTTTGTATTTAATTATATAAAATATTCATTAGACATGAAAGGATTGACTGGATTTTGTAAAAGATATGCTCGAGGAATCTTTAGGCAAATTACTCAGGACAAGTTACAGCGAGATGCGCGCTTTCGGCGAGAACGTATCGTTTGACATAGCGAAACTTTTCGCCTTTTTTCCTTTTTTTTACGCGTGGACATTTCTTGCAAAGTTCTGTTAAAATAAATTCTGGCAAATATCGTACGATGCGACTGATACTGGGAAATTCACTTTGAAGCAAGGCAGATCTGAAAATGTATGTTTTTTAAATTTATCATGTTACCATATAAAGAATCGCTGTTAGAGATTTGAAATCATAGATATTTACTTGCAAGGAAGCATCGGAGATCCTCGAAAGAAATGTATAATGATTGAATCATTTTTCATCATCGTCTAAAAATAGATGTTAATAAAGTAATTAATAAAATAGTGATAAAAGATTAAATCGTTAACTTTTGGTCATGTAAAAACTAAAAATACAAATATACAGCACTCGCCGAATTTATGTTGCGCTTTAATCTACAGTAGCCCCTGCTGGTTTTAATACCGCGATTATTTATACATTGTTCGCACGGACTCCAGGAACCCCATTCGGATATTACCTGAAGGATTACTCCTTCTTCACGAATCTCCGCTAAATCAGTCATTTTCGAGACCTGTCGGAAGATTCCTTTCTTTGAAATCACGTTAACTTAAAAAATTATTAATCTTGTCGTGACGCGTCATGAACTAAAAAAATAACTAATAGAATAATTCTTTGTCCATTCATTGTTTAAATAAAAGGATATAATGTATATTTTGTAATCATTCTTTAGAAACAAAAAAAATTAAGAGCTCGTTAACTCACTGCAAATTTCGTATTGACAGGCCATAAATATATTTCTTGATACTTTTCCCATTCTGTTATGTTTCCCTTTTCTAAAAATTCTCCGCCAATATCCTTGACAAGTGCTACCCAACAAAATTAAATATTAATTTTAATACTTAGAACTGATAAATATTTATATAAATATTGATGAAATATGGATATCAGGAGACACAGTAGTGTCTCGGCGCTAAGCCATGCGCAACGACACTACCATATGATTCCTTTACGCGAGACCGCGTATTATAAACATCAGAAAAATTATAATAAAAGCAAAATAATTGAAGTTAACATTTTAAAAGCTCAAATTTAATTGTAATTAATAAGGAAAATATCATAATTAGTCAAAAAAATTTAGTAAGAAATTGTCGTTAAAAGTAAAGCTAAGTGTTGAAATATGCTTTCAACATAGTGTAATATTATAACAAAATCAAATGTTAGATCAACTGCCATGTTAGTTACGTTCGATCCTATAGTTATATTTTTTTTCTTCCTCTTGTCCTTCTTTGCCATGGCATCGATAAATGCCGGCATCAGTGACTGCGAAGCTTTTTACGACTAGAGAAAGATCCGAAGTTGTATAGATTCTACTGTACGAAATGTTATTATCCATTTCCAACTCGACTTCCTTTTCAGGATTTTCTTGATAACGATCTTGATAATACCAAATTTTTGGTTGAGGTTCTTCACGGTCATTGCTTCTGCGAAAATTTAGATCCCAATATTCCTAATAGTTTATCAAGAAATTTATCCCTTAGGAAAACATATTTCTCATGTCCCGAAAAATATCATAATAATTATAATTAAGTTAATTAAAGAAAACTTTAATTTAAACTAGATGACTTAAACTAAACTTTATTAATTTAATAAACAATGAATTCAATTAACAGAAGTGTTTAAAGCAAAATTTTATAACTATACAACTAATTTTTCTTTCCATACACATACTACTTAACAAATTAATCACCAATTAAATGAGAGTTTGATCAAAATTCTTTTAGACTTGTTTAATCCTCCGTCTGCAATAATATTTTTAATTCCTTCGTCTGCAATCTTGATTTTTTTTGTTATGCTCAAGTTTTTGTTCTAGTAGACTTTCAAAAAATATATGGAAAAATTCAGAGTTACTTCAATATCTCTAATACATTACCAAATAGTTTTTTAACTCAAATAAAATCTTTATTTAATAAAAATAAAAATTTGAATAAAATAAGAAAAAAAATAAAAATTTGTTTAAAAATAACTTAACAAAAGAACTGGGATTTCACTTCCCTTTATTTTAGAGAAATTTAAGGTGGATTTTTTTTTCTGTGGATTTAGGCCCTGCGCACAATAGAAGGAATAAGGAATTAGGAATAAAGAATATACGATTTCAACCTATTAGAAACCGTGTATTCCGATGTATCCGATTTCTGCTAGGTTAAAATCGTTTATTCTTTATTCCTAATTCCTTATTCCTTCTATTGTGCACAGGACCTTATAGACGCATTACTTTATTTATTATTAATTGCATATCTGAACAATTCTTACCAAAAGCGACAGGCTAGCATAATATTCGTATTATTCTCAGCAGCGATGAGCAAATATTCGTCATTCTCCTCAGATGTAATCAATCTGTCTTTATCTCTGCAGTACTTGTTAACGTTTACAAGCGTACCATCAGTAGCCACGCAGTTTCTACTTGTTAAAGACGCAATAATGATCCAAACGACGTACATAACCGTTTTGAAAAATTTAAGACAATTAAAGTACAAACGAAGAAGCATTGCCCATTAAAGTGTAGTACTTGAAGTAAGCGGCGAAGAAACTGCGCATGCCCATGCATGCAGCTGTATTTTTCGTCTCTTTTCCTTCTCTCTCCACTGACTAATTATACATCTATTTCATAGTAAGTGCAGAAGACGTAATTCGTACAAACACTTTTATTAATAAATATCTTAATGTATAATTCCGTTCTTTGTAGCTGCATTAAAATGTAATTTCAATTAAAATAAAGTATGTACATAATTGGACGTTAAAAAGAAAAGAAGACAAAAAGAGAAAATGAGTGCAAAGTACAAAAAACTGAACTTTTTATGTTTTGCATTTATTTTCTCTTTTTTCTTCTTTTCTTTTCAAACGTCTAATTATGCACATTCTTCATTTTAATTGGTAATTGCAGCTACAAAAAACGGAATTACTTATACATTCAGATGTTTATTAATAGAAGTGATTTTACAAGGTGTACTAATTTAAGTGGCACTTTCTTTAAACAAAGAAGAAGAGTAACCACAATAAGATTCAAATTTTTAACTGGAGCTCCTCGCGCGAGCTTAATAAAAATCGTATTAAAAAACGAAGAGGTTAACTTATCTTTGCCGCTAAAGTCTGCCGCTTAATTACGTTATCCAAAATAAAAAGGCTTGTATATAATTATTAATTGATTCGAGAAACGAATCCTTCACGGCCGGAACGTCTCAAGAGGAAAGAACGGCGTATCGCCGCGCAGAACATTTTGGAGGTTGAGAATTCGCCGCGATCGCGGATTTTTGCGTACCTTACCGACCCCGCGTACGTCGAGGCGTCGTGCGACTTCCGGGACGGCGCCAATCGCCAACCAGGTCCGGCTACACGAGATGGCGGATTGATGAACCCGATAGAGTCGGAAGTACGTACCCATGATGCATCACTGATTGGCAACATGGCGGACGTGATTGAAAGTGAGTAAACTTTGCGTTTATTTTCGAGGAAATTAACGGGACGAGCGTCCGCGGGCGGCCACGATGATCGACGCCCGCGGAATCCGCGTTCCCGATTTAGCGGTTCGGCGAATCGCGCCGCGGCCAGCGTTCCCGTGCCGCCCGCAATCGCCGTTCGAACAGCGATTGGGTGCGGATCGGGTTTAAAATTTCAAAAATCGCCAACACACGATTCAAGCGGGATTCCGCTGTGAATTCCGCGGTCGGCGTTACCCCGTGGCCGAGCCCGACGGCGGAGTGCCTGCATGTCGCGCCGATCCGCAGCGTCGACCTGCGGCGACGGCCACCGCGAGTCTGGCCGCCCGCGTGGACTGTTTATCAAACATCCCCTCCTGAGTTTGGTTATGTCGTCCCTGCTGTGCTGATGGAGCACGGTCGATATTCCCTCGCGAATTTGTCGTACCGCCAATTCGACACTCTCGGAATTTTACCCTCGGACCGAGGGGATGATTGTATGCGTTTCCTCGTTGCCCGTAATTGGATTCTCGTTTTTATATTTTGCCGCGAATACATTGGCTATTGTCATGCAGTCTCAGCTTAGGTATATGCGTTTTTTTTTAAATTTCTCAATTTTGTTCTTTGGCGTGATATTAATTTATATGCGTCTTAGATATAATATTGCCGATCTTTACCAGTAATATGTAATTATTGGAGTAATTCTTACTTAATAACTTTATTTGTAGATCATTATACTATGTGCGACATGGATTTTACATCAGAAGAAATTATTTCTCCACTTAATGTCTCATATGCAGGTAGTGATTTTGAACAAATTTGTTCAGGTGAATCTGCGGAAGCATTGCTGTCCATAAAAAATGGTGGATATCCAACCATTGATGAAATCAAGACTGAGATAATTGAAGATGATACAATGGATATGGATGAACATAATTTGAATCACTCGGATCAACAAATGGATACAGAGGAGTCAGAACCGATACCGGAGCTAGGACCTGCAGCTTTAGGTTTGCAAAGGGTAGGCACTCAGCCACCTTCCAAACCCAATCCACCTACACAACCAGTACAGGTATTGAATCGTAGAGGGATGCCAGCGAGAATTAGGAAAAAGAACAAGTTGTTCTATGATGACATCTTGATTAATCATCCACATCACAGGTGAATTATTCTTCTCATGATTAAAAATAAAAATTAAGATTAATTAGAAAAACGATCTTTCTTCAAACAAACTTCTTTAAAGCCAAGAATTATAATTTTCCAGAAAACTTGGCAAAATTCCCTGACTTTTTCTTGATTTCCTTGACCGTTTCCAATTTTTCTATTTTCCTGAACGATTTTTTTTTCCAATTTATTAATGTATAATGATGTTTACAGAATCAAGAAGGATCCTTCGGCTATAGATACAAAACAATCCCCCAAAAAGATGATGCGACCGTCGCCAGTGAAGAGGCAGACTAAGATGTCGACCACACCAAAAAGTACAAGTTCATCTTCGCAATCGCAACCAACAACTCCTGTAACAACTCCAATCAAACAAGAGAAGGAGCCTGAGAAACTGTCACAACTTACATCGCCGGATCGTAAAATAGGACAGAAAATTGGTATGAGACTGAGAAACTTGTTAAAGCTACCGAAGGCGCATAAATGGGTCTGTTACGAGTGGTTTTACAGCAATATAGATAAGTATGTACAAATATAATTACTGTATTTATACTTTATCTATATTTAAATTTTTTAGTATTATTTGATTAGTGATACTAATGAAATAATATAAAAAAATGTAGATTTTTATAATAATATCAGAGATATATAAATCAGTTTTCCTAATATTCCATATAACACACACAATGTTTCTTGCAGGGTGTTATTTGAGGGCGATAATGACTTCATGATATGCTTGAAAGAGTCATTTCCGCAATTGAAAAGTCGCAAACTCACGCGCGTGGAATGGTGCAAAATTAGAAGAATGATGGGGAAGCCGCGAAGATGTTCGCAGTCGTTTTTCGAGGAGGAAAGACGTGAACTGGAGAGGAAGAGGCAGAAAATACGGATGTTGCAGCAGAGGAAGACGGCGGACATAAGCAGTTTCAAGGATCTGCCACCAGAAATACCATTGCAATTAGTAATCGGTACGAAAGTGACGGCAAGATTAAGGAAACCGCAGGATGGTTTATTCACTGGAAGCATCGACGCTGTCGATACTAGTAATAATACTTACAGAATTACGTTTGAGAGAGCTGGACTTGGAACACACAGTGTCCCTGATTACGAAGTTTTGGTATGTCGCTTGTTCTCTCCGAGGAAAATGTCTACGTTTACATTTATATATTAATATATGATTTGTTTCAACTAGTCGAATGAACCACCGGAAACGATCAGCTTGACATCATTCTCCCAAAAGTTCAGACCACGGCCTTTGCAATATGCACCTTCTTCATCACCATACATGATGAAGTTATCTCCGCGATTGACCAATGATCCTTTAATATCGAACGCATCTGTCTCCATTCCGAAAAAGACGAATACCGGTGGTACAGTGAATGGCTTTCCACTCAAATTACTTGAACTTATGGTCAAAGTGAATAAGATATTAACAACCAAGAAGAATAAAATCAAGAAATTGAAGGAAATGAACGGAGAAGCTGAGAAGAGACGTTCCTTAGGTGAATCGCTTCCTCCCGATTTTGAAAAAAAATATGCAGGGTACGGTTAATTAAATACATAAAAATTGTGTTAATTATGTATATGTATTTAAAATTTATATATTTTATATATTTTAAATATATAATATAAAATATATTTAAGGGACATTAAAATTATATATATGAAGATATATATATATCATACTTTTAATATACTATACTGTTGTTTTCAGAATTATTGTTGAGTTGGAGAGAATGAATGGAGCTCTCCAAGACTTTTTGAACGAGATACAAGAACTGTGTCAAGAAATGGCGCCTGAACCTAGTGTGGCAGCGATGTTGGCACCGTCACATCTCCGAGAGAAATGCAAACAAGAAGCGGCAGATATGGTCGCTAAAAATAACGTAATGAATGATAAAGAACCAGGAAAAATGAATCAATTGGTAACTGATTTGACTGCGTTGATGTTACAAGTGAAAGTAAGATAAATGGATATTTTTTATTGAATTTATTTTATCCCTCACTTATCTGATACTAAAAACATTATTTCCTTTATCGCAGAGCTTATCAGATTCCGATCGAAACGCATACGAACTCAAAGTACTACAAGGTACCATAGAGCAGATAAGATCGAAACTCAGTCCTCAGAATCAGCAAGTGTTTCAAAACTGCGTTGAAATTCACATGCAACATATTCAAGTAGGCCTAGGACAGATGGGTCCTCTTACGCCGTTTATGGCGCAGAGAGTTTAAAGATCAAACAAGAACTCGTATATTCTCACCAAGTGTATAATACAGTATAACAGACGATCATGCATCACGATATTTTTAGAAAGCAAGAAACTAACCCTGTATTTTCTCATCTTGTATAGACTACATTAATAATATATTGCCATGTAAAGTGCACGTCTACACAATATACATATAGGATTTAAGCTATTAATATACATTTTGTATATACAGAATATATCAGTTCTTCAGTTTTTTTAACGACACATTCATGAGATACTGACCTAGTTTACATCGTGCTTGATACGCATACTAACTAGTTCACTCTTAAATTATTTTAATTTCAGCAATGTAATTTAAAGAATGATATACTAAATTGATTATTGATTATGGTCATGTGTATCGCCGAAATTAAGATAATTTAATAAAAAAACTAGTTAGCATCTGTATCAAGTGCGTGATGTAAACTAGGCCACTAAGAGGAAAATTTGTGTACTGTTGGATAATGTTACTGAACATATTGAATATTTAAGAATGTTCTTTTTTCAGAATTTTATGTACTGTATGCAAGGACTTGGACCGAAAAATTTCGGTCCGAGGCTAAATCCAACTTTTGGTTCCATTCTTTTACTGTAACGGTTATTGAGTCCATTTAAATTTTAATCTTTTTCGATTTCAATAATTGTACACCCATAACGGTCACCATTATCACTAAAAGAATTGGAATCAACCTCGAAACCGAAAGCTGCGTAGCCTTGGACTATGATTATAACATTCTGAAATTTTAAATCATAATGTAAATTTAGACTGAGTCCCTGAATGTATTATTTGATTAGGCATAAATATAAATGACAATTTACTGTCAAGTCAATTGCGATAGTATATGTGCGAATAGTAAAATTATATTTGAATTAAAACAAATCGAAGCTTGTGTATATATACACACATACATACATACAGTCGATTTATATAAATAACTATATAATTTGTTATAAGAGAGAGGCTCTTCGCAGTGCAAGTGTAATTTAAAAGTTTCAACTAATTATAATGAAATTTATTGTCACGAATAAAAAATGTTTTTTAATCCACTTATATCTAAAATCCATTTATGCTGATATTCTTTTCTCATGAACGTGAATCACTAAAAAATTTAAATCACTAAATATGTTTTTTAAAATATATTTGTATATTTATGTATAATTGTCCATGATTCGAATCACGTGTAATCAACCCAAAGAAAATATGAATAAAATGAAGTAATTTTTGAAATATATTTCGTATAATTAAGTATAACAAATGTATAAATAAAGTGAAGAGTAAAAGATTGATAATTTATAAAATGAATATTTCTTATCCTGAACATTTAGTGATTATTGAATGTAATCTATTTCGCAATACGTAAATTCTCTTAAAAACATAACGTAATGTTTGTAGAACGACAAACATCTTTTTACTTATTTTGTGCATCATTACTATAAATAAGTTACGAAGTTTGTTTTGTAGAATATCAGGCAATTCATATAATCTATAATACTTTTCACTTGTAATTAACTTCTATAATACAATTACTTTGTTAATAATATAGAACATTTCAGCAGCTATTACAAGCACAAACTGCCTCGTTCATAATATACACTATTATATTTCTACTATACATACTGTACATATATTTCCAATTATTATTATTATATTATTGATTACAATTGCAACACTCATTCCAATAATATCATGCATGTAAATTGAGACATTTTTTTAGAAACTTCCATTTTTGCATTCTTATATAGACAATTATCTTTTTACACAATATCTGTAAATAACAATTGGAAAAGTCATTAATCTTTAAAAAAAAGTTTTTCTTCGTTTATTCATCATAACATAAGAATAGAAGATAATTTATTGCATAATGATGATCAAATGTAATTTTAGAGCAAATTTCTTATTGGTGATAAATTTTTAATAACGGCTCAAGAGTGAGATTACATTTGCGTTTTTTGCCACACGACAAATTTTTCAATCCTGCTGATTGGCTATATAGGATAAAGAAATCCGAGAATCTCTCTGCTTTGCAGCTTTGTCGTACGCCAAAAACGGATAAATGAAATCACTATATTGGCTTATTTTGGGCTAATTTTTTAATTGATCATCCATTACATACCTCGAGAATGAAACATCTTGTATTCTTACATCATACATATTTCTCATGATCATGTTAAGTTCCTAGGCAATCGCAAAATTTAGATTTTATGGAATGATGACAATAAAGTTTAATACAAAATCATTACGTTGATTAATAATAAACAAATATTTCATGGATTAGCGTTTGCTTCATTCTTCAAGCTCGAAATAACATCAAAGAAAAACGTCTTTGAAACGTGTTTGAATACATAAATCAAGTTTCGTGTAATTTCTACTTTTTATGCTTATTTAATGCTTCCAGTAATTCATCCGCATTTTCGCTAGTTTTCACTCTTAACAGCACTGAGACTGGTGGCGGTGAAGAATCTGGCATCGGTAGGCAGACCAACATTATTGTGTTCTGGTTCATGCGCTTTGTGGGAATGCTTTGAGTCAATAGAGTATTGAGTAACAAATTACCCAAAGCAGTATTGGCTCGTACTATCAATTGCGTCTTTCCGTTCGGTGTTGGTTTCAGATATAACATCCCAATGCCTCTGTCAGTATAAATGTTATCTTTCTTTATGAAGACTTTACACCTATAAAAAAATGTATTTGATATTAAGAGATAATTTATATATTAAGAGAATTTTTTACTCTATAATATAAAGATAAACTCTTTAAAAAGTTTTGTGTAGTTCTTATTTTGATATTTGTATAGTTAGTTAAGAAATTACAATGTACAACTTACCTTTGTTCATAAGTAGCACCTTCTTCAGTTACTAGTTTGAATTCTTGTTTCGGCGGTTCTTCATCTTCTTCATCTTTATTTTCATTGTCTGTTTTGTCTTCGGTTTTCTCTTGTGATTTTACTGCTTGAGGAGCAAATGAAAATGGCTTTGCACTGTAAATTATAAAAATGTGTTTTTGTATTTTGTTCAATATAAGATATAGTAAATAAGTTAATGAACAAATTACCTTCCAAAAGTAAATCCAGCAGACACATTACTGGTAGAACTATGTCCAAAACTAAAAGTGGGAAAGGTAGGAGCCACAGACTTTGCGTTGGAGTTTGTCTCCACCTCTTCTTTATTTCCACTATCTGAAACGGTAGATTTGTTTAAGAAGGGACTACTTTCCACACTTGTATTGCCAAATACACTTTTACTAGCAACGTTCGACTCTGTGCTTCCAAAAATAGATTTACTCTTTTCAGGGGTTACATCCGTACTACCAAACACAGATTTAGGATTTTCTGTTTTCTGTTCCATATTACTAAATACAGATTTAGTATTTGTGGTGATGTTGGAAAATATCGACTTCTCAGGTTTTAATTCTGTTCCCGTAGTTAAAGTGGACTTTGCATTCGCGTTTGAATTCCCAAACGGTAACTTTTCTGATTTTTTTTCTGAACTTGTCTCTTGTTTATCGTTCTTTGCAATCTGCGTTATATGCTCTGAAGTATGCGAGGTTTGTGTCTTGGTACTTTCTTCTTTTGATGTAATTTCTTTCAAATATCTCTCATAATCCTTAAATATAGGTGTTAATATACAAAACGGATTTGCATCTACGTGGCTCTTTATCCATGTAGCGACGCTTTCATTTAATCCTTTTAATTTTGCGTAATAATCCGACGAGTGACTCTTTGTCTTTTCAGTTCCTTGCTCAATTGAATTTTTTTTGCTTGTACTTGTACTTGATGATGTTTGTAATTTGGCAACATCCTCTCTTTTATCTACATCAATTTCGGGAATCTTAGAAGCACCATTGCTTGCAGTCTGCTTGTTACTTGTATTTACAGTCGTTGTTGATGTAGTAGAAGTAGTACTAGAAGTAGTGCTTGTATTAGCTAGAAAACCAAACGGAGATAAACTTGGATTAGTTTTGAAACCTGTAAACGATCCAAATGCACTTTTCGTAGGAATCCCCTGAAACAATTAACACGAAACAGTGACAAGTGATAAGAAACAGTAAGTTGAGGTCAAAAACTAACCAGGACATATACTTACGTCCTTCGATGGCAAACGACGCCTTGCTGTTTTTATAACCCTCTTCTCAAGTATATCATTTGAAGCCAGCGCAAACATTCCTGCATCCTCTGGTTCATTCTCCTCATTCCAGTTGTCGTGATTCAATTCAGTTGTTGCAGCTCGCTTACCTGACATTTCCGCTATCTAATGTACTTCATACATAAATAAAGAAGAAATCATATTAGTAACAATAGAATAAATATATTACTCTAAATATAAACGTTTAATATATTTGAAAATTAAATTTTGTGCAACCAAAATGCTACAACCAATGTAGCTATCAGAAACAAGAAAAAGCTAAAATTTTCACTGCATTGGATATTGAATATTGGAATTTAAAGTGATAAATTCATTTACAGACAGAAAAGGACTTCCTTTTCATAATTACGTGGTAAACTGTAATACATGAATTTTTATTTCCCGCGAAATATAAAATAAGATAAAAAATTGGAAATACATGGAGTTCATTTATGTGATACGAAACGATTCAGTCGATATCATATTGCCAAATCAGGTTATGTTTCAAGCGCTATCGTCCCGGTGAATTTCTCGTGCATGAATCGTAAGTTGAAATTACTCCTATAGATGCTCTGGAGTGAACGTTCTATTTTGACAGATTGAAGGAAACGCAAAAATATATAAAGAGTTACTGTACAATCTTGCGGTGACGAACAATGGATATCGATTTTTATTACACTCACCTGAAATCGAAGAAATTGCGTTTGCCGCGGCGATTTCGACATCGACGTCTCGTCTGCGAAAATAAAGAGAGCTAAAAGACAGCCAAACTCAAGAGCCTCAAGAGACAGTTGGTTTGTAGTTATACTCAAGCAGCGTTTTCACTGCCATTTTTTGTCCAGCAGAACGGTTCAAGGCTACATTCCAAATTGTCCATTCCGAAGGAAGGGAGCGGTGCACTTGCACACAGTTTTCTATTGCAATTCGTATGTGCTACCACCGACGAGATACTATTAAAGACCGTCAACCCTGGGCAAATTTTCGGCGGTATAAAAAGGGCCCCAAGGACCCGGAGGTAATCGAAGAACGCTGACATTATCGACAATTGATATAAATTTGCTATTATTAACATAAATATTTGACTAATACATTATTAAATTCATGATATTTTATTACATAAACGCTCTATAAATAAATATGCATATTTGTAAAGCTATAATATCCTATATATTGCCGAAAAATTACAATTTTTTTCTCTGCAGTTATTATCTCTGTTGATAATCGAACTTTGACGATAACATTGAAATCACAATTTTAAAGAAAAATCAAGTGTTATTGAGTTTTAAATGCACGTACACCGATAAACACGTCTACTAAACTAATAAATCATAAAATTAGTAAAATATTATCAGTTTTTTTTACTCTTAATCACTTCAATATTAACAAGGACGCGAACTCCCATAAGGATGTCGGTCTTTAATAATATCTCGTCGGTGGTACTACATAATATTTTAATATTTATTTAAAAATGTTTGGATGACTCACAAATGTTTTTAATATGGTACTTCATAACTCTTCATACGAAATACCAACGATTCCATGTATAAACTTTGTTGAATTTAGATCCAGTTAATTATTTCGGCCAAGTACATGGTCCAAAAAAGAATGATTAATTGTAATTAATAGAATGACTCACAAACCTTTTTATTTGCACTTCAAAACTCTTCATATAAAATACAAACGATTTAAAATAATAATTGTTACAATCGGAGATTTTGTTCGGTCACGTACATGTGAA